GGGGGGGGGGGGGGGGGGGCTCGGGCGTCTCCGCAGTCTCCAGACTGGCTTCTTAATGGTGTAGCTAACTTCGGTGCGCGTCGGGGGGTCGCCCGCGCCCGATATCGATACGCACACTGCCAATTGCTTAGACCTTCTGCTGACAACTGATCCAGACCGCTACTCGGTGATAGTCGCATCACCTCTAGGTAGCTCTGACCACTGTCTGGTGAAATCTGTGTCCACACACTTCCCGCCGGATTCGAGTCCCAGAAGACCTCGGCGGATGCCAGGCGCCGTAAGGCTGGTGACATTCACCACAGGAAGAGAGCCTTTAACCGGGCTGCCAAGTCATGCAAAAAGGCATGGGTTGGCTCGATTTAACTACATTGGCTGCATAGGGAACAAACTAGCTTCCTACCCAGCGGGTAGTGTCGCGGAGAACCTAACGGGTAACCGGGGCTCCTGCTCGACGTCCAGGAGAAGGAACGGGGTGGTTTTTAGTCAGTAAGAGTCTGACACTCCCTCCCGCCTCACCCAGGCGGGAGCAGTCATTCGACGATTTTGATTAAAAAAAACAAATCCCTGCGGGTAGTAAAGCATTTTGGTCCCTGGCTGAGGCGCTTGAGTTGAACTTCTATCGCCCCTCACTTCCTCCACTCCTGAGGTCTGACGGGACGCTGGCTCCCACTGCGATAGAGAAAGCAAACCTATTTGCTTCTATATTTGCGGAGTCTTCACGACTCGATAATGGTGGCGCCTCGCCTCCTTTTCTTAATAGCGTATGCGAGACGTATACGTATATGTCGAAAATTCGCATATTATTACGCCAGAAGGAGGTATATAGGACACTGCGCAATCTTGACGTGAACAAGGCCAGTGGTCCCGGTGGAATCCCAGCCGTGGTTTTAAAAACCTGTGCGCCTGAGTTGTTTCAAATCTTGACACGCCTGTTTCGCCCTTCCTTGGACACTGGTCAAGTGCCGGTTGCATGGAAGCTGATCAACGTGCAGCCTGTGCCCAAAAAAGGTAGTCGTGCCGACCCTAACAATTGCCGCCCTATTTCGGTCACGTCCATACTCTGCAAGACTATGGAATGTGTACTTAACAACAGACTCCTGGCATACCTTGAAGGTAACGATCTCCTCAGCGATCGGCAATATGGGTTTCGACGTAACCAATCGACTAGGGACCTTCTTGCGTATGCCACTCACATCTGGAGCGAGGTCATCGAGAGGCACGGGGAGGCATTGGTAGTCTCCCTCGATATCTCGAAGGCCTTTGACAGGACAGGCACGAAAGTCTTATCGGCAAGCTTCCTGCATATGGACTTCCTGCTCATCTGTGCAGATGGATAACGGTATGTGTCCGGTGCGCGGACTAGCGGAACACAGAAACAAGACAATCCATGATCAAGCGTTTTAGCTCGTCCTTGAAGGCGGTCCCCGACTGGAGTGACGCCAACTTGGTCAAGTTCAACGCTAGCAAAACCCAGGCGTGTCTACTCTAGTCCTTTCCATCATCGTACCACATGACAATCGGCAAAGTGTCACCGATTCATGGTAGATGTTCCACCCACACGCACGAAGCGCTTCGCATTAAGCTTCCTTGTGCGTACTGCTAAGTGGAATTATTTGCCAGAGTCTATATTACCTAGGTGTCTTCAAGGCCCGAGTGAATAGGTTGCTTATGGGTCGACGTGCTCCATCGTAGACCACATCATAATGCACCACCAGGCGAGATAGTGGTCGAACGTCAGTCCCATCTAATATTAAAGAAATATTGTGCATAGCTCGATGTGTGGTCGGAGTGAGGTAGGTAGTGTATGCGCCTAGTGTAGTCGGAGTGAGTAGTGTGGCCTGTAGAGTCGCGCTCGGTGTCGGCGGCCAGCGACGACACGTGCGTGGCGCGGCGCTGCGACGCCTGCGACCGCTGCGACCGCTGCGACGCCTGCGACCGATGCGACTATATGCCCAGACGTGAGACATCTTCATGTTCGCTTCTTTACTCACTTCTTTGTTGCTTGTTACACTGCTTCTTCTTCAATGAGTAGATAATTATAGGCTTTTTTCCATCGTTTGATAGAAAAGTCTATTTTTAAAGGAAATCTAATGAGATGTATAAAGTAGCGTGTTATAACCCGACAACAATATCTCAATAATCCATAATGCGACAGGCGTCTTATACATCTGATCAGACAGTACAATTGTAAATAGGTACTTTTTTAATCTTCACGTCGCATGGTTCATGTACTTCATCATTGCACTATACTTGTCACATACAGAGTGTTGTTATAATCAAGTGGTAAGCGATCATATTGTGAACATTTAAACTTTCCCTTTATTACTGTGTTGTCCTTTAAACAATTCTCTAAAAAGTTCTTATAAATTAAAAATTACATTTTTAAATTATTCGTAGTTTAATTATGAAGTTTTAAACTTAATAAATATTATTTTTTCTCAGTTATTTGTGTGTAGTTGTTGTAGTCAGAAATCATGTTGTAAAATGACATCATGAGAAAAAAAATGGAATTGAAACCAATTGGGCTCCGTGGACATGTCACGAGTCCATTTTGTTGAGTGTACTGTACAGTGCACACGGTATCAAAGGGCATTTTGGGAATCATGTTTCTGTCCCATTCTTTCAACGAAGCGTTGATATTGTTCAGTGACGACGTCGTATGTGTTCCAGCGATGACGGGTATGGGCGTGGGCGTGGGCGTGGGCGGCGTGGGTGGCGTGGGCTGTGCGTCGACGTGCGAGCGTCGCCCGCACGCGCGCATGCCGCATCCAGACCAGGTACGAGTACGTACTCCTTGTATATATCTAATTACTAATGTTCTTTTGATTTGTGTTTTTTTTGAAGTTAGTGTTAACATATCAAATCTTCAGCAGCTTTAAGAAGTATTACACAGTTTAAGTGCCTCGTTGTCCGAGTAGTCGCAAGTATGACTGCCGGGCAAGGGGTCTCGGGTTCGATGCCCGGGTCGGGCAAAATATTACTAAGTTTTAAAATTTTCTCAGTAGTATAGTGTCCGGCATATGGCAATAGGTTCCCCCTTATTCTTGTGTTCTTCTGTTAATGATCGCCACATATTCATAAGTGTTTTTGTTTACTTAATGTATAGACGCTAGCATATCTAATGTATTCAATTATTATTTATGTAGGTAGATGATTTTCAATTCAATTATCTTGTAATAAAGTCAAAAATCAAGTAACATTTTTCTTATTTTGCGGTAGCTCAGTGTATTGGGGTCTCTACATTCCATTACAATGAAGTTAATAATTATTGTGGAACTACTATACAATGAAGTTGGCAACAGTTGGCATAGTAGACTAACTTTATATTATACTAGCTGTCGCCCGCGACTTCGTCCGCGTAGAACAATGACTTCAAGCAGAATTCATCAGAATTGATCCAGTGTCTATGTGAAATTCATTGTGGAATGAATTTGTCGTGGTTTTAAAAATAAATAATAATACCGCTGTGATTTTACCAGTACAGTGCCCGTTCCCATAAGGTTTTAGCGATATCTAGCGGAACTATCCTATCGACTATTGTTGTACCGAATCTCTCTAAAATAAATTCAGTGGTTAAGAGATAGAGAATCCCGAGGCTTTAACGCATAGTTCCTGTTCCCGTGGGACTTCTGTGATATAAACTATCAGACATCGTCTTCCAGATGTCAAACTATCATTTTACCGAATGTAACTCATAAAGATTTAATGATTCTAAATTCAATAGATTCAATGGCTAAGAAGATTTACACAAACTCTCATCCCCTATTTTTTTTTTACCCTCGGGGGTGGAATTTATCAAAATCCTTTCTAAGAAGATGCCTACGTGATTACTATCATGCGTTTTGCGCATTTGCGTTATGCATGCAAAGCCTCAGCCCGATCAGTCTAAAATTGAGAGAGTTTCATACAAACTTTCATCCCTTGTTTTATACCTTTGAATTTATGGAATTGATCAAAATCTTTTCTTAGAGGATGTTTACGTCATAACCTCTACCTGTATGCCAAATTTCAACCCGATCGGTTTAAAACTGTTAGTATTAAAGTTTCATACACACTTTCATCCGCTATTATACCCCCTTTTTGAGGGGGGAAATCATCCAATGGTTTCTTCGGCCTTGGATTAGACGAGAGGGAGTGTTAGACTGACTAAAAGCCACCCCGTTTCTGCTGCTGCACTTCGAGCCAGGCTTTCCGCGGCTCCGTATCGGCATCAGCCCTATTGGGCCTCATTCTTGGTGGTCTGTTGGTTCCTTGAGGTGCGCGTGGAACGCGACGCACCGTACGCACTGGCTATTTTACCCCCTTGGAGGTGGTAAAGATCAAAATCCTTTCTTAGCGGATGCCTACGTCATACCACCTACCTGCATGCCAAATTCCAGCCCGATCCGTCGAGTGGTTTGGGCTGTGCGTTGATAGATCCCTATTGTACAGAGCACGCCCCTGCTGGCGGGCGTGGCCCCGCTGGGCTCCCCGCAGTCGTCGCTGGGCTCGCTGGCGCACGGACACCCGCAACATCCGCCGCCCGCGCCCTGTGAGTATACACTAACTTTAAGGATCTTTTCACTTTGTACATTTTTTTACAAAATTACAAATTGTGACGTCATTTTTGGCGTCAAATAGTATGTAATGTTAGTGAAAATATCATTATTTTGTAAGTCGAAGAAAATATTTTTAAATTGTGAAAGGAAACGAAACTTTTTCATTTCAGGATTTAAAGCATAGAGTTAATTATATTATGTTCCTTGTATTGTAGGTGGGTCTGGTACATGTCCACTGGGCGCTGCCTGCGCGGGTCCAGCGCTGGGCGTGGGCGTGGGAGTGGGAGTGGGCGACATATACGCGTCCGCGGCGCGTGAGCGTGGACACTACGTCGCGTACGAACCGCTCGGACATTATACACAGTCAGTTTATACATCTCTACTTTAAAATTATAATTGCAACTGTCAAAATTATACACTCATTTCTAAGTATGAATTCTTGTGGAACGAAGTTACATCTCAATTCCATACTTGTTTACTAATGTATTATTTATTTCAGCCGCGACTCGCTAAGCAGCGAGACAGGCCCGGGCAGCGGGGGCCCGGGCGCGGGTGGCGGCCCGGGGCTGGGCCCCGGCGGCGGGTCCCTGCAGCGGCGCGGGGCGGGCGGGGCCGCGCTGCACAGCTTCACGCTGAGCGACAACGCGAGCGACACGTCCACACCGCCGCACTCCCGCGCCAGCGTCCGCGACACGTCGCCCTACAAGAAGAGCGCCAGCTCCTCGCCCGGACACATACCCAACAGACTCCAGCTCGGTGAGACTATGTTACTAGGTCCCGCGACACGTCGCCCTACAAGAAGAGCGCCAGCTCCTCGCCCGGACACATACCCAACAGACTCCAGCTCGGTGAGACTATGTTACTAGGTCCCGCGACACGTCGCCCTACAAGAAGAGCGCCAGCTCCTCGCCCGGACACATACCCAACAGACTCCAGCTCGGTGAGACTATGTTACTAGGTCCCGCGACACGTCGCCCTACAAGAAGAGCGCCAGCTCCTCGCCCGGACACATACCCAACAGACTCCAGCTCGGTGAGACTATGTTACTAGGTCCCGCGACACGTCGCCCTACAAGAAGAGCGCCAGCTCCTCGCCCGGACACATACCCAACAGACTCCAGCTCGGTGAGACTATGTTACTAGGTCCCGCGACACGTCGCCCTACAAGAAGAGCGCCAGCTCCTCGCCCGGACACATACCCAACAGACTCCAGCTCGGTGAGACTATGTTACTAGGTCCCGCGACACGTCGCCCTACAAGAAGAGCGCCAGCTCCTCGCCCGGACACATACCCAACAGACTCCAGCTCGGTGAGACTATGTTACTAGGTCCCGCGACACGTCGCCCTACAAGAAGAGCGCCAGCTCCTCGCCCGGACACATACCCAACAGACTCCAGCTCGGTGAGACTATGTTACTAGGTCCCGCGACACGTCGCCCTACAAGAAGAGCGCCAGCTCCTCGCCCGGACACATACCCAACAGACTCCAGCTCGGTGAGACTATGTTACTAGGTCCCGCGACACGTCGCCCTACAAGAAGAGCGCCAGCTCCTCGCCCGGACACATACCCAACAGACTCCAGCTCGGTGAGACTATGTTACTAGGTCCCGCGACACGTCGCCCTACAAGAAGAGCGCCAGCTCCTCGCCCGGACACATACCCAACAGACTCCAGCTCGGTGAGACTATGTTACTAGGTCCCGCGACACGTCGCCCTACAAGAAGAGCGCCAGCTCCTCGCCCGGACACATACCCAACAGACTCCAGCTCGGTGAGACTATGTTACTAGGTCCCGCGCACAGCTTCACGCTGAGCGACAACGCGAGCGACACGTCCACACCGCCGCACTCCCGCGCCAGCGTCCGCGACACGTCGCCCTACAAGAAGAGCGCCAGCTCCTCGCCCGGACACATACCCAACAGACTCCAGCTCGGTGAGACTATGTTACTAGGTCCCGCGACACGTCGCCCTACAAGAAGAGCGCCAGCTCCTCGCCCGGACACATACCCAACAGACTCCAGCTCGGTGAGACGCCGGACTACGGTACTATATTACTAGGCAGTGCATATACTACGGTGTTTATGATCGTTTAGACGCACTATTTGTATGTTTTGAATGAGTATGAGTATTCACTCATTACTCATTCGAGTATAATCGTGAATGAGAATGAAGTGTGAGTGTGAGTATGATCGTAGGTAAGAGTGGCTGAATATGAATGTAACTGGGTGAGTATTTATAAAAAAAGGTAGATGAGTGTGAGTGACTATGAGTGCGTTTGGGTGGGTATGATGTGCGAGTGGATATAAAAGCGAATCGATGAGTATGCGTAGTGGCTATAAGCATGAGTAGATTGAGTGTATGAGTCAAAATGGGCGTGAGGGAATGAGTGTGAGAAAATGAGTCATAATGAACATGAATGAATGTGACTGAATGAGTGTGTATGTGTAAGTGAGTGACATAAGATAAAGCAGATACAATACAATGTCAATGTTTGTATGCCAGGTGGTACAGTCCCGCACTGCGCGGACGAGCTGGAGCCGCTGACTCCGTCGCGGTCCACGGAGAGACTCCACCGGGAGATGCAGAACCTGGAGGGACTCATGAAGGACCTCTCCGCCATCACGCAGCAACAGTTCCACTGCTAGCATGACACTATATCATTATATTGTACTCCAGCATTTCATTCGATTCAGTAAACTGACGTAAAGTAATGTTAAAATCGGTTCAGTCAATCGTGAGATAATTGCTGACAAACATGCCTACATAAAAAATGACGTCATGTTGATAACATGTTTAAAATACACTTTTCGAGAGTACTCGACTAATTTCAAGTCATACCGGGGCTTATAACAATGAACGAGTCATTTTTTTTCGTCATTTTCTACATTGTAACAGTCATAGTGACTGTATTTTGCTGAATCGAATGTGAAGTTGCTTGTATACAAACAGACAGACTACAAACATTTCGTTGTACCGACATTTGTGACATAATCCTAGCTTTATTATTTTAGATCAGTTTGTACTAACTCCTTGTCTATGACACTACTCATTTATTACAATACAATGAAAATATAACGTTGTCTGAAAACGTAGAACAAGCAACGCATTAGTAACTCCTCTAGTGTCCCGGGTGTCAATGGACGGCGATTGCTTGCCATTGTGTGATCCGTCTGCTCGTTTCATAAAAAGCTAGCAATTGAACGATTAATGCATTTGACGAAAATAATTCAACGTTTCATATGGGACATGTTGACCAACGAACAGGCCATGGACACCCATAACACTGGAGGAGTTATTAGTGCGTTGCCAGCCTTTTGGAGATTAGGAATTTGAGAGTGGAGTTTCTTGCTCATTCTTCTCCATAGGAATCTACACCTTAGAATGAGCAAATAGCTTCACTTTTAATATTTTTTGACGTTCAAAAGTGCCATTCTGGCCTAATTGAAATATATGATTTTGACTTTGACTTTGAGAGGTTTGGGGAGATTGGTGAGGGGAAGGAATTGGGTCTCCGGTAACATTACTCACGTGCCATTTTGAAACGACTTATTTCAGCCAAAAACATTTTTTTTATATTCAATGGCTGGTTTATGGGTAGCTTCGTAGACAGAGAGTTGTTTTTAGATGAGTTTATGACAAACATTAGTTGAGTCCTAGTACTTACATATAACTGTACATTGTATTACTGAACCTACGCGTTATATATCTGTATATACTTTAGTTAAACATATTCTAGCTCCCTAAGTATAGGTTTATCATTATTTTGACTGATTTTAATTATTATTGCTAACAATTGTCATACACTGCAGTGTAATATCTTCAAATTATTATTATTATTTACAAAAAATGTCTATATCTTTTATAGATGTTGACGGTCTAACAAAATTTGTATGTTTTTTAGGAAAATGGACTTAAATTTATATGTATTTATGTGATATTGCAGTGTATGATGGATTACGGCGGCCATATTGTGCCCGCGGTCATTGACCCCGCTCTGACTCGCTCAACCTCCACACATACTACCTACATTGCAACTAACAAACCCCGTCTGTCGACAATTCAAACGATTACCACTCTTATTCTGTTGAAATAAGAGTGATGATAAGTGCACCAAATAGTTGGTATTGTAAATATTTTTTCTGACTTTCAATGTCAACTGTACGTCGTAGGGAATAAAGGTGAGAATCGCTTGGATGTTGTTAGTTGGAATGTGGCGGGTTGTTCATGGAGAAGGCTCATTGTATATGTTTATGTAAAGAGCTAGTCATGTAAACTATGCCTAAGTAGGGTAACGAGATACCGCGTGACATACAAACATACACGGGCACCTTGTGGGAACAATCATATCTTCATATATACGAATGAGTTATATAACTTTAAAATATGATTTTTCTAAATTTTTTTTTTGTTTTCTAGTAAAATTTCCTTCGTATTTTTCATTATATTGGTCCTATAATGGGTTCTTGTACTTTCTATGTCACGTGGTATTGTTATAATCTAAGTTCGAAGCGATCGCGACACTGAAACATGACTAATATAAGGTGAACTCTATTTCCGTACATTTTATGTACTGCGAGGAGTTAAATTATACTGGTTGTCTTCTCTAGATTTATTAAGAGCCAATGTAAGTTTAACTTTAGTTATGTACACCATATGTGCTATGAGGGGTTAAATTATACTGGCATTTACCCCTAGACTTATGAATTTATCCAAAGTAACTTGAACTCGACTGAACGTACCCATTATGTACTATGAGGGGTTAACTCACACTGGTTTTTATACTCCTAAATTTTGTCAAGAAATTCCAACATAAGCTAGACTATACATATTATATAGAACAAGAGGTTAATTTATACTGGTCGTTTCAGTGACGCATTCGCTCCAAAAAATTCCTATATTGAAAAATTTCTCAAGTTAGTTATATAAGTCTCTTATATAATTATTGTAAAAATCTTTTGATACTATATGTATGTAAGTAATATATTTGTACATTTGGTACTCGACACGTATTTTTACTATTATATCGGGCTGCACCCACGTTTGGTAATACTGTGGACACTGACCACTCGACCGCTACCACCGACTGCTGGGAACATATGTTGTCGGGATATATTATTATTACTCCTTGGACGGTTTTATTAGAGCTTCTAATGCAGCTGGACTGTTTTTAGTCAAGTGTGTTTACCATGAGATCAACTAGATGGCGTTGTAATCAAGTTAAAGATTGAATGTACCTACTTATTTTTGTACATTTTTCGAAAATTATATTTTGGTTCCGATTTCCGGATTGGAAATGTAATTGATATTTATTTTCGAGCATGAAGTTTACTTTCTACTTCCCTTAACCGACGAGCATGCATGAAATGATTGATGACTAGGTGAATCGAAAGAGGTATGTAGGAATCGTAGCAATTGGCGATCCATAGTCTCTGCCTACCCCTATGGGAGACAGGCGTGAAGTTGTGTATTTATTTTAAGTCTACCTTACCCTGTTTTATTAACATGGTGTTTATAACAGAAATTGTGTCAAGTAGGCATTTTTATTTACTATTTTAGCAGTTTTTTTGAGATATACGTAGAATTCGTAATATTATGATATCATGTAGTTGAGTATGTCGCGTGGTCAGTGTCCACAAGTTTTGTATAAACTTTATCTCGTGTCTCTGTTGTACATAGTCTGTCCTGCTCGCACACCTCGCTCCACACCCGCCGCCCAAGCATCCTCTACTCTATGCACTATAACATACAGTCTATATTCCTTTGTGTTTGGCAGTGAAGTTAGGTTGTGTATAAGGAATTGCTATTAAATTGATTTTGTATAAATACGTTTGGTAGCAAAGGTAGGGGGTTCGATTCTAGTGTCTTTTTGGACTTTTAACTTTGAAAACGAATAGTGCCGCTTGCTTCTGCTATCAAAGTAATATGAATTATATTAAGTGATACTGTCAGACTGATTTAGTCGTTTACACTTTATTTCGAGTCCGCAGTAGTAGGTGACTGCCCACGCCATTATACTGTTCACCCATGTTGACAAGTTCCATGTTGTACGAGCTGTTCGTCTGTACACTGAGATGTGTTTGTTGTTAACGAAGACGGAATGTTCACAGAAATAAAATTACTGTTTTTGTATCCGTTCTCGAAGAGAGTATTTATTGTACTACATTAATTAATTAGTGTGGCTATAAGTAACATAATTTTGTTATGAAGGCGCCATATCGCACGTTCGGCAAAATGTTACTAGACCATAATAAGTTAAACAGTAAAACAATTAACATCACATGACGATGTTCGTACACGTGTTTCGATGATTTTTCACTTTTTTATACAACATTAAAGAGACCTAGTTCTATGGCCTAAGAAATACTAATACTTGTAGAACACTCTTGCATACTGGCAAACTGTCAGGCGACAGGCGTAAACATATTTGAAGAGCTGTGACAGTATTGACGTGGACGGTCGCTGGCTAGTCGCATTTATTAGTTTACAATTTGTCAAACAGCGTGTTACAGCAACTCATAGAGTACATGTACGTGTTGTAAACACATAAATAGATACTCACACATGTAATATCACTTGTTGGACTTCTCTCGGGTCGGGCAAATATTAGTGTTAGTAATTTCTACTGAAATCTAAGATGACACCTAATTAGATCGACTTTTAACATTACTGTTGAAATGTGAGTTTTGTATTAAACTAGTTGAGCTCACACATTTTGTTTCGTCTTGACAGTTTTTATCCGAACCAAAGCGAAATAACAGCTGAACTGCAACACATTCAGCTACTCATTTGAGATTAATAAACATCCCTGCCTACTCCCTCGAGGATATATTTAAAGAAATACATGATACTTTATGTGAGTTCCTGTAGCACGCTGTGTACTATACGATGTTCTGCTGTACAGATGTATAAATGTATAGATGTACAGATGTATAGATGTACAGATGTATAGATGTACAGATGTATAGATGTACAGCTGTGCGGCGGCGCGGTGTGAGCGTGACGTCACTGCGAGTGTACAACTACAATATACTTGTATTATTTATTGACTACACGCTTTCATTATATATCCCCTGTCCCTGTACCTGTACCTGTCCTTGTCCCCAACTATTAAACTATCTAAAGCTGGATAAACACAAATGAGTGAAGGTAAAATGCTAACACCGTATTGCGGGTTCGACTCCCGCAAGGATTAAACTCCTACCAGTGTCCCACAGGTTCGAAACCTGACGAGGCCAAATTTGTTCGATACTACCATCAGTTTGACAGAAGAAACGTCACGCAGAATGTTAAAATAATTATAAACTACGTTTAAAACTACCGATTTTACCCTCATATATTTTTTGAAGTCAATTAGTTAATATACTAAAACCAGGAGGTTTTAGTACTTAGGAAAGTATAACAAAGACTATTCTGAAAATCACATGAAAATCGGTGCAGCTAATCGCGCACATACCTACATACCAGTGTAACTACTTATTTGTTTTTCGTAACTCAACTGAGTTACCTCAAAATGCGGCTGCGTAATGCTGTCTACGCACAATTATTTTTTTTTGGGACAAGCCCGCCACAGCCTCCCAAAACCACTGCAATTCCTGTAAGCCAGGATCTACAGTAGATACAACCATACAAACACCGGAACACTGAACTGAACACAGGGACATGAGTAACTGTCTTGGTTCCCGCAACGAAGTGAATCAGAAGATATTATAAGAGGAGAAGAACAAAAACGATAGTTTTGTCTTCCCTCGGTGAACTACCTATGGGTAAGCCTGTAAACGAGCAGACGGATCACCTGATGGTAAGCAATCTGTGTCGGCCATGGACACCCGGAACACTAGAGCGTTACAAGTGCGTTACCAGCCTTTTGGGAATTGAGAATTCTGACGGATTTGGGGAGACTAGGGGGGGGGGGGATTGGGCCTCTGGTAACCTCACTCACACGACGTGTACACGTCGTTTACTGTGAGACTGGGGTATCCCTTCTGTCGAGCCGGCCCATACGTGCCGAAGCATGGCTCTCCCACATTTGCGTGTGTATTATCTGCCTACCCTCATAGAATATTGAAGTAATTACATAAGCTAGCCGGAAGCGTTGTGTAGGTAACCTGCGTCCAGTAGGCGGGTGTAGATAAATATTCAATTTGTGTGTCGCGGCACTTGACCGCGCACTATCTGCTGCTATCTGCTCGCTCCACCACTCGACCAGAACATCACACACAGACGATAAGAAATGTGTTTTTTGAGGTCCCAGGTTAGATTCCTGGATCGTATGTGTTATGATATCGCTTTCTATTATAGTAGTAGGTATTTCGCGACTTCACCCGCGTTCCCGGGTCATAAAAAGTATCCTACGTGTTACGTCCAGACCATCATTTGTCTCTATTCTTAATTCCATCCCGATCACTTCAGCCGTTTTGACGTGATTGACGTAACAAACATTTTATAATATTAGTACTTAGTGGTAGTGGGTGTTACATTGTACAGTGGCATTAAGTGCCGTAATGTGCACCTCTGCCTACCTCTTGAGGATAAAAGGCGTGATGATATATAGTCTAGAAAAAGTATGATTTGTCTGCACAGCTGAAGACAAGTATGAGTTGCTATTAATAGCTGATCGTCGGGGAAGGGGGAGACTGGGAGAGATACAATAACTGTACGTACTTCTAAACAGTTCGTGTCTGTACTGTGTGGTGTGTCAACAACAACGCACATCCGTACTTCCTTATTCCTACGTATCTACTAATATTAATAATGCGAAAATATTTTTGTTTATCTTATTTTACATACGAATTTCATCTGTGGTATGATTCTTGAAAAGGAGAATTTTTGTTTTCATCTAGCCATGCGGTACCAGTACTCGTAAACTAGAGCCAAATTCATACTAAATTAATTATCATGTGTGTTGGATTATTCACGTAATATTCAAATGAATATGTGCCTCAAGCCGGCCTCTAAGCCGGAAACAATTGTCGCGGAGAACCTAACGGGTAACCGGGGCTTCGGCTCGACGTGCAGGAGAAGGAACGGGGTGGTTTTTAGTCAGTAAGAGTCTGACACTCCCTCTCGCCTCACCCAGGCGGGAGCAGTCATTCGATGATATTCCCCGCTTAAAAAAAAAGCCGGAAACAATATAATTAATCAAAATTCTTATTTGTTTTAGAAACACTATTCTCATGATACACAGGCAATTGTCGAGTAAGGTACGAAATGTATACTGCTTTAACTGTAAACCTACTCTCACACAGATTATTGTATCGCAACGAGGCACCGCCGCGCGCCGCGCACCGCGTCCCTACAATTACAAAGCTAATTAATTTGTTTCAAACTTTTTGAAAAACAAACTTATTATCAAGTAATCTGCGAGATACTCCGTGAGTAAATATTGTCGGTGTAGTCACACACACACACACACACACACACACACACACACACACACACACACACACACACACACACACACACACACACACACACACACACACACACACCATACAAGTTGATTGACTGCACGGTTGGTGCAGTGGTTGGGCGAGCGGCCGCCAGGCAGCGTGTCATAGTTTCGACTTCTGTTTGGAAATGTCGTAATTTACAAACTGATTTTCTGGATTTTGGTGAGCTGTGTAATGTGTATGCATGTAGTATTAGCACCCACGCGAGGTAACGTTGTAAGTAAATACATTCTAGAGTAGGTGTTGGACGTGGGTCCTACAGATAGTACGGCCTGCAGCTATGGGGCTGAATTATTATTGAAAGAATGTCAAGGTAAATATAGTTGCAAAGCTTTATTGATTCAATAAGTCACTGAAATAAGAAATACAACTATACGCAGTTGCATCTATCGACACATGTACCGCGGCGCGTCGGGCGTCTCGCTCCGGTATGAAAGGAGATGACTGTGTGATGCAGACGAGACGTTATTACTCCTCGCTAAGTACCTCTTTGTAATACTCAATCAATTATAATTAGCCCTCCGTCCCTCAGCCCTCTCTCCTTCAGTGGCTGCAGGTACATTGGACACAGATCATAAAACCTCGCAAGTACTGACTGCAAGTGATGGTGGAGGTTCCGTCATTACTTATTTATAACTAGTGTTTTGATTTAAAGAAATTACCTTAATGCTTCTCGAACTATGTGCTTATTGATATTATTTAATTTTTCAATTCGATCACGTACAATGTTTCAAAGATTCTGCAAACGTTTGGTAGTTAGTTGGTCAGTCATAGTTATTAGATTCGAGACAAAGTTTTTTCAGGAGACGACGACACTCGGAAGAAAGTAAAGTGATGTGATGAGGAGATGTCTCTCTCACGGACCATATTCTTTAGCACTAAGTGTAACGGCACTCCGTGAGTAATCCATGCAAGGCAAGGAACTCGTGTGACTTCCACACACAATGTAGTTTATTAATATTTCTTTGGTCTTAGGACAGTGTGAAAAAAGAAGCGATAGACACAATTTTAATACTAGAGGCAAAAATAAGTTAGCTATACCGCAATTCAGACTGTCCAAAGTACAAAAATCCTTTATGGGGTTAGGTATTAAATGCTATAATAAAATACCAAATAGCATACTAGATCTCAATGAAAGTAAATTTAAAACATATATTAAGCGCGAATTATGTAATCAAGCTTACTACACACTGACAGATTATCTTGAAGATAAGAATGCTTGGCAGCATGTTGGTTCGGCTCCACTGGACAATACTCAAATGTAGTCAGTAGTTAAATTCCAATAGTAGGTAATATAATACATAATTTAATACTTTAATTCTAATGTAGACAATCTAGTTTCCTTATGGCATCGAGCATTTCTTTCTTTATTGAAACAAAGAGTTTCCTTTTTCTTGTATAGAAGCACTATTTCTATGGATTGTCAGTATGCATATGTGAGCACCATGTTAGACTTAAGATTTTTTATTTTTTTATTTTAGTAAGTTATTAGTATAATGCGTCAAGCGTGTCTTTGCATTGTTCTTACATATGCGTACAGTATTTAAATATGTATCAGAGACATTGTAGAACATACTTTTTTAAAAGAGTAACGAATGGAGTTTCTTGCTCGTTCTTCTCCATTCGAATCTACGTTTTGGAATGAGCACCTAGCTTCAACTAGCTTCACTGACGGACTGACTGACAGACTATTATTTATTTTGTATTTGTTGACGTTTCCAAAGTACCAAACTATGGTTTAATTGAAATAAATGCTTTGACTTTGACTTTGACTTTGTGTCAATTATTGACCCTCAAAGTACTTGTTGGTTGTACGTCTCTAGAATAGAATATGTTATTTCATGGGAAATTATCCCATAGGTAAGTATATATCGACATTTAACATCATTAATTAATTTAGTTGCAGTTGCCATAAAGTAAAATGTTATACTGCGTGTTGTCATGGCTGGAGATGTCTCGAAATGTTTCCTTACAGAACCCTAGAGTACTGAAGAAATGGTTTCTTTCCGCGAAGTGTCACCGGCGCGCGTAGGGCGGCCGCTGCATATATAGCGCGGCGCCGCCGAGCGCGACACACTCCGCGCCCGACACTGCGCGCCACGGATACACGCTCAGCTGCTGAACGCTACAGGTACACTTTCATCATATACTTAATCTGTTAAACATTATAAGTATAGTATATACCATTATTTCTTGTTAAATTAATTGCCAAGGTACATTATTGGAAAAAAAAAATTCACATTTTTTTTAATTGAGTCGCTTTTATTTACTTATACGCTTTTTTAATATAAATTAAACAGGATTAAAGTTAACTCAATATCTTCATAAAATATATATTGCAACATTAAATAAATTATTTTATTGCAAGCTAAATAGTGAATTTATGAAATTCACTATCTACTATGTTTTATAAACCGATAATTAAATTTACCCCCAGTGTGTAGGACACTTTTGAATCGCTAATGAAGACTATATCTACTTTATTCAAAAACCAAAAGCACCTCCACTTTGTTACATCTATAAAAATAACCCTGAACAAATCATCGCATTAATAGAAATATTTGCTAATTGCTACATAAAAATTAATATGTATGTAATTTTGCGTTTAATATACTCATTTTTATATAAAATACTCAATTTTACACTTTATCACTACTTTTACATAATAATGAATAACCTTTAAATGATCTTATTTAAAACATCAATGACATATATACAATACTTTCCCAAACTATTCTACAGTTTAACAATGTTCAACTAAGGAACGCGTTGATGTCTTTTGTTTGCTACGAACAACGGCTACGACTGCTACGAGATCTGTAGCCAATACTAAAATAATAACTGTTCTTAATAAACACAATACAAACTATGAAAATGATATTAACTACATTATTTGTGATGATTTCATAATTTTGTCGAAACATTAACGAATTATTTGAATATTTTTAATTAGAACGAATGATTATTATTAGAATTAGATATGCCGTAGGTATATGAGTTATAATGAATGCTGTAAGAAGGTTGTATTGTATCCAAGAATAGGTCGAGATGTCAGATGTCAGTACAATTGGACAATAAAGCGAATGTTTTAATTTAAAAGTGTCCGTCGGAGCGGGTTACGGAGCAATCAAATTACATTTTATATGTATTTTATTAGTGAAGGCTCTCGCGGCTCCACGCGCAGTGTGGGCTCTGACGCACTGTATATATATTTGGGGGTTACGATAAGTGTATATCACTCGGGGAAGTAATATCATGAACTAGTGATAGTGGTGTTAGTTGTGATCCTTCTGCTGGTTTTTTCTAAATGACGTCATCACATTATTATTATACCTCTATGTATGTGGCTAAATGTTTCGAATGACGTCTGTCATCCGTCCGTCATGAGCTAGCAAGGGGTACACTTCAAGTGAGTGACGAGTGAGTGTCTTGCTGGTTCTTTTTCAGAAAAATCTACACTTTTGTTTTTTTTTAATCTCAACCTTGGGAAGCCCGCAGTTTCACCAAGCGCTTGAACTGACAGACTCCATTTTTATTTTTTTATGAATTTGTCGTTAGCTATCCCCTTCTGGTCATATTGGTTTAATTGAAATTAATGATTTTTTGTATTTGCTTGATCCAGTGTGCCAAGTTTAGTTTGTGTTGAGAGATCGTGCGGCTATAATTCAGCCCTGAGGGGAGCCGCCCTAATAATAAAAAGTATTGTTTGAAGTAATATAATCTCATATAATAATGTTTGTTTGTTTGTTCGCACACGCGGCGTGTGCTCGTTACTTCGTTATGAGAGTCGTTTGTTTATCACATATATAACATATAATATATAACGATATAATTTCCTCGCGCTCCACATCAGATAATGTAATATATTACACATCTATGTGCTGTTTGTTCATAAATATTGTAAATCTGAACTTTACTTAGAAGTCGATTATCTTTTACTAACAGATAAGTAAAAAATCTCAACCAAATACAGTTGAATGTTAGTGTGTTACATGAAGTAGGTTCCAATTCCAATTGGTGATGTATTTATTTATTTATGATTTATGTACGCTACGTATGTATTATTTAAGTGATTGAAGTACAAAGGTACCTATTTCTATTGGAATTTCTCCCTGTAGACCTGTGATTGAACAATGCCTGACGCCAAGTCTTAACATATTTGTGAAATTTTCCAGTGACTTGACCATTACTTCCAGTAACTAGAAAAGCCGTGATTAGTAATTACTTGACACCTAGGTGTTGGCACCGAGTTAGAGTTAAACGCGATGCGAGATAAGGCTCCATCTACTCAGTAATGACATGCGCAATATCTATCTTCTCTCAGATTTCCTTTCTAACAAAAATTGATTCGAGTAACCAATTGTCTCACGTCACAAGGAAAATTACAAAATGGTCACAAATGAGGAGTTACACAAAATTCAACTCGCAGGCGCAGAACATACCTGGGTGTTTCTCCAAAAAACTTTAACATTTATTTAACAAATCATTATCCTCCCGCGTTGTTCAGCATCGCAGTAACTTATTAGCATCTGTATTTTATTGCATTGGGTGAGAGCGGTGACATGGCTCAATTTTTTGAAACTAAACTTTGTACTTTAATCAGCAGAACTGTTAACTGTGGCTTAAGGATAGTGACGCCGTTAATTTTTCGTTTTTTTTTATAGAATCACCCACCTACCACAGATTATTTTGTGGATTGAAGCTATTTTTTACTAATTGGTCAAAAACAAACACAAACCAAATCATTTATATGCACATAACATGGTAGGGACCGTTGAAAAACGCCTCGCGAACACAGTGTAGTTTTTTTTATTATTGAGAATAGTACGGTTCAAGCTCACTTGTAGACCAGGCAGTCAGACTGGATACAAATGTTAGCAGGGGCGTAGCTAGCGGCGTATCTGCCATATCAATTATATGGGGCCCCCGGACTATAGGGGCCCCCAACGTGTCTAAGCAAAAATTAATAAAAACTTCCCAATTTTTATTATATTTTTTTTTCACGTAAGTCACGTAAATATTTCATGTAAAAAAATCTCTTGTGAGTAATATTTACCCTTTAAGGGCCCCTAAACAAATTTTTGTACCGGGCCCCTCCAAGACACGCTACGCCACTGAATGTTAGGCTTGCGTACTAACTGCCTTGGACAACTTGGGACATATTTCTGTAATAACCTTACAAGTAGGACAGTATCAAAGTGTTAAACATGTGACGATCACATGACGGCTGTGTGGCGCCACATGGTACATGTCAACGAATGACATCACAAAATTCTACATCGCACATGCAAAGTTTACAGGCAAATTAACACGGATAGGAAATCCCAACGAACAACTGTTGGGCAGAGAGCCCGCCAGGCACGATCACCTCGCCTGGTCGGAGGATCCTCCTTTTCCGATCTTAGGGAACTATACACTCTGTTCCATAAAGCTATAACGTTATACTTGTTTCACATCGATATTATTAGCAAAAGATAAATATCTTAATTAAACATTTGGCCAATAAGTGAGTGTGAGTGTGTGAGTGCCTAGTATATATATAGTGAATATATATATATATATATATATATGTATATATATAGCGGCGTGTTGTCGCAGCGTGGGCGGCGCCCGCGGCTGTAATGAGACGCCGGCAAACACCGCCTGCTGTACAAACATACCACTGTACAGCCTGCCTGACCGGGCCGGACGCTCGCCGGACGACCGGCAAAAAACACGCTTCCGGCGACAGCCGCGGGATGTTGCCGGATCTACGACAAACTGTATTACCGGCCTCACCGACAGGGATAGAGTTAGTTGACACATAATGCTGTCTCACTCGCACCTGTGTCACAGGATCCAGGCTCATCAAATTAGTTTTAGAAAAATAAAGAAAAATGACGAAGGTTATCACGTTCGGTGGTTGATGAATAATGTGAAGGTTGCTATCTGGCGAGGTCATCCAGTTAGCAGTAACTGCTACATGCAACTACATCATGACTACATATTTCCAAATAATGAACTAGTTCCCTTCGATAATGACGCGATGTTGATCTGATCTGTGTCGATGGCTCATCGATACAGCGACCAGTTAGCTCATGTATACAAATGAGGTTGTACTAACTAATTCGTTACATTTGGATAATCTAGGGAGGAAGGGGGAAGTCAGTTCAAATCCCAAGCGTGACAGAAACTTGAGAATTAACAATATAATTGTCAGCAAATCAAAGCAATATATAGGTACAGACGTGTAATGGGTAACATGGTTAGCTGTACTCACAACTTGTACAGAGGTACACACACACACACTCACACATACACACGTGATGTTTCTATAAAGTTTATATTTATTTCGTTCAAGTAATAAAATATTCCAGCCGCCGAGCAATGATTTCATATGAAAACAAAACTTCACGCGTTGTCCAGAGCGGCGGCAGGTAGCGGCGGCTAATAAAACAAAATATATTTTAATATTCATACACTCGTAACGTAGTTATATGTTATGATAACGGACGCCCGCGCCCCTGCGCCCCGCCCGCGCCCCCGCCCGCGCCCCGCCGCTAACTTTGTGCTAATCCAACTGGCAGTTCCCAGTAGTTGGAGTAATTGTTTAATTATCACACGTACCGAGAATTACTCAGCTGTCGTCTGATTGATATAATAATATGTCAATGCCTTCTATATCACACATACAATTGAACTGTTTTGTGCTACGGCTCGTAGCGCTACGAACGACTAGGGCACGTAGCAGTTCGTAGCGCTTCGTAACATGATTTGTACTATTTCGTAGCGCTACGTAAAACTTCGACATATTACATGTCGTAGCGCTACGATATCCTACGAAGCACTATACTTTGTGCAAAAACTAAATATTTGTGTCAATTCTAATTATTAGGAAATTGTTAAGCTAAAAATTTCCTACTTCTAACCGAACCTAAGAATCAGAATCAGAATCAGAATCATTTATTTGTTAAACATAGGTAGTTTACATAATAAGGTCTTACATATAAAGATAGTCCACTATGTTTTGCCGTGATAGACATACAAATATATTAGGTACATGCATTTGAACATTATTAAAATATTACAATTTCAGTTAAATTTGTACAATAATAATAAAATAATAAAAATAAGGTATGTCAAAATTATGTCAATTAAAATTATCAAATTTATCAGGAAATACATTAAAATTGTCAAGAAAAAATTGAAATTGTCAAGAAATAAATTAAATTTGTCAAAAAATATTATCATTAAGGAATTCTTCAATTGAGTAATAGCATTTGTTTAATAATAATTTATTGAGAATACTTTTAAATCTAATTACTGTTGTATTTTTTATTTCATTGGGAATCTTATTATAAATTCTAGGGGCATTACCAAACAAACTTTTGTACATAAGTGCTGTTTTACATTTTACTTGGCTTAGTTTATTAATATATTGGGTGCGTAAGGGAACATTCCTGCCTGAGCTCAATTTTGGAAATAAGTGAGGATTTTGTTTTACAAATACAGCTGTTTCCAGTATATACATGGAGGGCAATGTTAATATTTTTAGTGATTTGAAGTGTGCAATACAGCTGTCTGTGGTCTTCAGACCACACATTGACCTTAAACATCTTTTTTGCATTCTAAACACAAGCTCTCTATCTGTAGACTGCCCCCAAAATATAATGCCATAGCGTAATACCGAGGCAACGAATCCATGGTATGCTGCAAGAAGAGCCTGAAGGTTTACTTTTTTTGAAAGTTGGAAAAGCGCGTATGCGGATTTACTTAACCTTTTACATAACTCCTCAACATGAGGCTTCCAGCTGAGGACGTCGTCAATGACTATACCCAAGAACTTGGTTTTATTTGCTTGCTCGATACAACGGTTTTCATACGCGATTTTAATATTGTCTTGATGACGACGCTGATGAAAGTGCATAACCTTTGTTTTGTTTAAGTTAATTACTAAATTATTTTTGTTAAGCCAATTGATGATATCATATAAGCATTTATTGATCTCATTTTCATAGTCGAGTTCATTTTTACATTTTATGATGACTGTACTGTCGTCTGCAAATAGGACCATTTTGTGTGATGTAGTTTTCGGTAAATCATTAATATATATCAGAAAAAGTAACGGCCCAAGAACGCTGCCCTGAGGGACGCCATATTTAATATGTCTTCGTTTTGATAAATATGTCGTTTCTAGCTTACTCCTCGGACATAGCCTACTGATCTCCGTATACTAACAATGTTAAGTTGATTGTTATCTTTTACCACGATATTATACTTCCACAGAGACTCTTCGGCCGTCTAACTGACTGAGTGACACGTGTGTCCAACAGGTGGCGGTAGTGTGTAACATTTGTGTCACACACACACGTGTGCTATGTGTGTACGTGCGCGAGCGTGCGTGTGCGCGTGCGCGCTGCTGCTCGCCCTCGTGCTCGCCGAGCACGACAAGCGCGCAGAGAGTGAGTACATACATACTGCTTGCGTATGATGAGTTGGCTTGTATCGTGTTGTGTACTGACGCGCTGTGTGCAGTGTCTCCGATGCCGTTCCTGATGGCGACGCGCTACGGACGCAGCTCGCCCCCCGCCCGCCACCTCGCGCCGCGCAACGACAGGTAACCCCCACACGCACATCAAAGATATATACATACGCTAAACTATTAAACATTTCCTATAAACACACACACACACACACATGATACACCCGCACACTAAATGTCCCGTCGAATGATGTTACACAGCTGACACACACACATGTATCTGTTCAGGTTCTTCATGAGCACGCGCTACGGCAAGCGCTCAGATAGTAGCGGGGGCGCGGGCGGGGGCGCACTGGGCGGGGGCGCGCTGGACGGGGGCGCGGCGCAGGCGCTCGTGTGCGAGTACACGGGCGTGTGGTCGCTGTACCGCTGCCGACACAAGCCGCCGCTCTACCACAAGTTAGATATACATGAACTATGAAAACTTTATTTATTAAACTGATTCGCCATATCTCAAGCTGATCAATCCATGTCCATGATTAGTAGTGTGTATGTTTGTGTGTGCAGGAGGAGTGCGGAGGAGACGATGGAGCGCTACGATGAGTAACCGTCTGCTGACCACGACCAGGGACCGCGCCGGCCGCCGCATACACACGCACCCACACAAACACACACAAGGAACAGCTGTTGTTTCATGTCACCGCACTTGTACTACAAACACATACAACCACACACACACATGTACGGACAGCACACACGCGCGCGGCCGCCGCTCTGTACACATATGTATACATACTTAATTACTTTAACTTAGTATTAATAAACACTAGACAGGTCGCTTCTATGTAAGTATTGGGACACACGTGACACAGGGACAGACGTGACAGTGGGACACGCTAGGCAGAGGGACAGACGTGGCGACGCGGCGCGGTGGACACGTCTCGCGGCGCGTGTGGCTGGGCGCGCGCCGCGAGACTCTACGCTGACGATCTCAGGAGTAACATACTGAAACATATATTGCTACTGAATATTTATTTGCATGAAACTTCCTGTAAATGTACCCTAACAAGATGTAATTGTGTGTCAACTATTGTCACGGGACCTCCATGTTGTTGAGTGAAACACGTGTTGAGACACATTATCATAATGTACAGTCTCAAACTACGAGAGTGGTCCATTATACATTTTATTATATTTGTGAACTATCTCTGTGTGTTTTACTTCTAAATTGTTTGTTGTTTGCGTACACACCGGATGTTCAATGTTTGTGCCAAAATAAATATAAAAATATTATGTAATTCTAAGAATAAATTATATGAAACTGTAAAACACATTCATACTGACAAACATACATTTTTTATATATAGGTCGTTAAATTCAATATGTTAACGAGTGACTTTATACAACCGTTGTTATAGTCCAATATAAAAGTGTAAACGTCCACCATACGACATCATTGTACAGTACAGTTTCATATTGTAATGTCGTCAGTATGTGTGTGTCGCCTCGTGTCGTCACTCGGAGTGACAGTGATGGCTAGTCAGTAATTGTAGTGACTAGTGTAGTGACTGTAGTGTAATGTAAGGTATACGTATGTACGAGCACTATCAGTCAATATAAACGGACGCTCACAACAAACGTCTTTTTATTTATGAAAACCTGGTACCTCGATCCCTTCTCCCACACCTAATCAGAAAATCTTTGGCATTATTAATACAGACTGCCTCATTGGCCGAGTGGTCGCAAGTGCGCCTGCCGGGCAAGGGGTCTCGGGTTCGATTCCCGGGTCGGGCAAAGTATTACTGGGTTTTTAAAAAAATTCCCAGTAGTAGCACGGAGTCTGGAATTGTGCCCGGTATATGGCAATAGGCTCACCCCCTATTACATGGGACTCATAACATAAATAGTGAAAAGTGGGTGTTACATTGTACAGTGGCATAATGTACACCTCTGCTTACCCCTTCGGGTATAAAAGGCGTGATGTTATGTATTATGTATGTATTAATATTGATTGACAATGTTACACCGCATTTATAATATTGAATATTAATAAGATAAATTGCCGAAAAGGCAAAGTAGCAATATACATTAGTCACTGACCTCTCTTCCTGCGGGCGTCGTTAACCCGACTAAGGGACTCCATGTATGTCAGAAAGGTGACAGGGACCTCTGCTAGCAGATACTATTAACTAACATATCAGTCTAATACTTAAAGCTGAACCTTTTATATTGCGAGTTTGAATGACAAACGTTGTAGAGACGCACAGTCCAGCAGTGGCCGTCACGGGGCACAAGCTGTCTATGGTTCTCTATTGTCTTCATAGGAAAGATATTTAGGGAAATATTTTCTTTACAATATTATTTATTTTTCGCATTTCTTGTAGTTCGCTGCTACTCCGTTGGTATATAATCCGATTGCTGAAATATTCCAAATACTGGGTTCGATCCCGTTGTAAAGTATTATAACTATATTATATACTAGTTGTTGCTCGCGACTTCGTCCGCGACCAATATGAATTTTAGAACATATTTATTTTTGTTTAAATTTTCCAAAATAAAAGTAGCTTATATTACTCTTTAGTACATCAGCTACCTGCCTATACAAGTCTTGCATAATCGGTCCAGCCGTTCCAGAGATTAGCCTGTATAAACAAACAAACAGAAAAAATGGTATGTGTATCGTATTTTATATTATAAATATAATATTCATATTTATGTGTAAGTGGTTATTTTAATATTACAAACAGACACTCCAATTGTATATATCTGTATAGATAGTGGATAGAACTATTTAAGTAGGCACTAGTACTTTGGTAGAATGCTCTGTTTGGGAGCTGGACCTGCAAGAGAGGATCGCATACTATGTACTTTCGCGTCCGGCCCTAGTGCGGGTCATGATGCGAAGCGAGGAGGACTGGGATGCCATCTCCTCCTTTTGCGAAGCAGTCATGTTAGCTAAGGAGGAGGCGGGACGCGTGAGGCAGCGAAGCGCTGCCTTCCAACCCAGCCATCGCGAAGGACACTCCGGGCGTCGGGGATCGCGCGACGATCTCCGGCCACCGTAAGCGCGGGCCTGCGGATGATGATATGCGAGCATGGGTGGCTCGCCGCCCGACCTGAACCAGACCCGAGAGTACGACGCGTCGCGTTCCGCGCACCCCTCAAAGAGCTATCAGACCACCACGCATGGGCCAATAGGGCTGATGCCGATACGGAGCCGCGGAGAACCTAACGGGTTACCGGGGCTCCAGCTCGAAGTGCAGGAGTAGGAACGGGGTGGTTTTTAGTCAGCAAGAGTCTGACACTCCCTCCCGCCTCGAGGCGGGAGAAGTCAATCGATGAGATTCTCCACTTAAAACACCACGTTACTGAGATGTATGGGGGTAGGCAGCAGGCGTTCATATACATTGTAACTCTCACATTCCGCCAGGAATGGACGACACCCATGTAATACTAGTAATATTATAATAAGGCGAAAGTTTGTATGTTCATTTGCTACTTCTCCACGTTAAAACGGCTGAAGAGATCGGGATGAAATTTGGAACAGGGATAGATTATGGTCTGGGGTAACACACATACTACTTTTTATCTGACGAGAACGCGGGCAAAGCTGCTGGTAGGAACTAGTATACAACATATTGATTGTACATCAATTTATTTATATGTATATGTATATTTGACCACTATCTCACCTGGTGGTAAGCGATGATGTGGCCTACGATGGAGCACGTCGTCCCATAAGCAACCTATTCACTCGGGCCTTGAAGACACCCAGGTTATACCCTTCAGGAAATACAGACGCTGGCAAAGAATTCCACTCCTTAGCAGTACGCACAAGGAAGCTTGATGGGAAGCGCGTCGTGTGTGTGGGTGGGACATCTACCATGAATCGGCGACGCTTCTCCGATTGTTCTGTGGTATTACTATGCAGTGATTAGCCTACTTACGTCATTGTTAGCACTCCCAACTACTTGCTATATTATATGTACCTCTATATGCAAAATTTCGCTTTGGTTGAGAACACAAAACGCAAAAATAACAAACAAAGAAACAAACTTACTTTCGTATTATTATAATATTAGAGAGATATTTATTTACAAACACAAAGTTCGCAGGAGTTCATAAATATGCAGCAGTCGGTCGGATAATGTTTTAATTATATCATCTCGTGTTGAGTGAGCACAGATCATTAAAAATGAACAAAGTTAATTACCAATAACATTGATACGATGTGACGTGTGATTGGATATATTTACATAGAGATTACATGCCGCCTCCGACTCCACCACTAATGTATTCACAACTCTATGAGTCTCAACGTCTCAACAACAGCAGGTATGTGCAACGCAACAGTTTTGTTGAATTCGAGTAGTTTATTATTGTACTTTGACGTGTAACTATCAAACAACAATAGAAAGAAACAACGCGTCTACTCTTCTAATACGAAACAAAAATCTTTTAGTAAACCAATGAAGTTAGTCTCGCAAGATCTGAATCTTATACATTTTTAGCAAGATTAATATCGTTCACCGACGGACACTGACGGACTGACTGACAGACTATTATTTATTTCATATTTGTTGACGTTTCAAAAGTATCAAATTATGGTTTAATTGAAATAAATGCTTTGACTTTGACTTTGTTCGAAAAATGGACGATGTCTCGCGAGATCGAGATTGCATTCTCTAGCAAGAAGATTTCGGCTTCTGAAGTTCTCAAAAATCTTTTTTTTTAAATTTTATTTAATAATAAGGGATTTTTTCCTTTGAGAAAATGCCAGCCGTATTATAGGATACAAATAATACAAAAGGTTTAACCAGTCCTTAAGCTTAAACACAAAATAATTAAATGATACAATTTTCTAGACTCAAGTGACAACGGCGACGCCAAAACACTGTGATACAATCCAATATTAAAACTCTTGAAAGTTATGTTAAATGTTATGCTACGCACGTTATTGGAATAATATTGTACAGAGTAAATACAATGTAAGAGACGGGCGGAGCATGGGCGGAGTGTTGTATGTAGTTACAGAATACACACAGATTATAAAAACAAACACTTACAAATAATATAATTAGGACGCTCCTGTATGTGTGTGTGAGCGTGTATGTGTGTGTGTTAATAGGATAACAAGCTGCTTTTGTTCAGCTCCTGGTGAGGTCACATATAAAGCTAGGTAGCTTCACTGACGTCCGGACTACTATTTATCTCTTTATTTGTTGACGTTTCTAAAGCATCAGTTTATGGTTAAAATAAACGCCTTGACTTTGACTTCGACTTTGAATAGTAATCGAACCCGCGATACGTCGTACAGCCACTGCACCTACTGCCACTGTCTCGCGAGCAGACACGACTGTCTAATGGAAACAGCAACAAGTGAACAACAACAAAATCAACATTAATATATTCATTTATTGCATTAAACAATGTTTGCTCGGGACCTCGGGTCGTAGAGACAATATTATAAATATGGACCCCTCGGATACGACTGCATAATTAATTAGTACAATTACGTCATAATGATCTTCTAATCTATAATAATATAATAATAATAATATAATAAAGCCTTTTAATTAGATCTCTTAGTATGTTATAACTAATATATTTTGTTTGTTTTTTACAAACGTTGCCCCACACTAGGATTATCTCCTGTGTCGTGGGTGCGTTTACAAACATACAAGTTCACATACACAGTGACACCTAGACACGGAACAACAATCTGTGGATCACACAAAGAGTTGTTCCGTGCGGGAATCGAACCCGCGACACGTTGCACGGCAGTCAGTTGCCCTACCACCGCGCCAACCGTGCAGTCACGCAGTGCATATAGATATATAAAACTTAATATGTATGCATAATTTAGACTAAAATTTGTTGTTTGATTATCTTCCCTAGATCTGTTTGCCAGTCGGCCAAGGCCTCCTCCAACCTTTTCATTTTGCTTATTTATTACACCGGTAGTTTTTTTTTGTTTCTAATGACGATATTTATATAATGTTTAGCATGCTCCTCTCCATTGCATACTGGCAAGTTGCTAGTTTGTTTAAGGTGACCTGGTTCAAGGACCATGACAGACACCCGCACGTAAGAACAGGTAGTATGCTGTGTTGAAAAGTTTGCATTTTAAGTTTATGTGGAGTTCTATAATTTTCATAGCCTCTCTTAAACTCCAGTATGTCTTCCAACCATCAGTAATTCTTCTGTCCACTTCCTTCCGCATAGGATCTTTTTGAGTTATGAGTTGCCCTAGATATACACGTACTCGTCTGTATAATTGATTTCAGAGAACAAATTTATTCACCTACAGAGCAATCAAATTTGGAAGAGATAAACAAGTTTTACCATATTTTAAACGAAGCCATCCAAGATTACACTCATAAAAACCTTATAGTAATGGGTGATTTCAATGGCCAAAATGGAGCACAACGCCCAGGAGAAAACGCATTACTGGGACAATTCTCATAATGATAGTAACAAAACTAGAAGCAGAAACGGAGAAAAAATCACAAACTTCGCGCTGGAAACAAATTAACAATCTTAAATACTATGTTCAAGAAGAACCGAAAGGGCAGGTGGACTTGGATCTCTCCGGATGGTAGAACAAAGAACGAAATTGATTTTATAAT